CCGGGCTCCGCCGTCGAGCCGGGAGAGAGCCTTTGCCCAGCAGCCAGGCACCGGGCCGGACGACGCCAGCCACCCGGGCCCCTTGGAGGCACCGCGCTCACCCAGGGCCGGCACAGGCACCCAAAGCCTAGGTAAGGAGGCGCGCCGTGGGTCCCCAACACCACCGCGGACTCAGGGCCATCGGTTCCCCCAGGGCCCCGCCCCACCCTGAAGCCCAGGGTTCTCCCATCGGTGCAGCCGGGTGCGGCCGGGGATTCAGACACAGTGGGCGTGGGGTTTCTCTATGGGGGCTCTGTCCTACTGGGGGATCCCAGGTGATGCTCCCCCCCCCCCAGGTGGACAGCTTTGGCCTTTCGTAGGGTGGGGAGCTGGAGGAGGGTGGCGGCGAGGCTTCGGAACCGAGTTCGGAAGGGAGGGAGTGGAGGGGTGGGAGGCTGCTGGTGACCGGGAAATAGCGAATGCGTTGAAACCCTTTAAACGCATGGAATCCGCCAGCCACGGTTCTGTGGGCTGAACCCAGCCTTCTGTCATCGGAACCGGCACAGCCACGGGAGAAAGCGCTCGCTCCGCGTGAGGGGCGCAGCAGCAGAAGATGGAGGATGGGGGTGGGGTTGGGGAGGGAGGAAGAAGACACGGAATCTGGTCCGATCAGAAGGGGCGGGGGTTGGCTTGGCCCGCGGGAGTCCTGGATCTTGGTTTGGGGTAACCGAGGAACACGAGGTTCAGAAGGCGGTGTGCACGTCCGGGGTAGATCAAAGCCCCAGACCGGTCTGCGGCTGAGCTGTTTTCCCACGAACCTGTGGACATCTCCAGCATTTTCTTTTCTTTTCTTTTTTTTTTTTTTGAGCCTTGCGCTCAGAGAACGCGCCGCCGCCGCCGCCGCCGCGCCTCCACCGCCGCCCCAGCCTGGGGGGTGTGGGCTTGAACCTGACAGCGCGCGCGGCCCGAACGGGCTCAACCCTGCTGCAAGCCAAGATTTCTGTAGGGTTTTTTTTTTTTTTTTGCCCCGTAGCTCAAACGCTACAACCCAAAGTCCGCTTCCCGCTTCCCCTCACCATGAAAAGGAAAATTGCAGAATGCCGGGATCCGATAGCACACAATGCGTGGCTGGGGACCGCATTCTTTTCATGAATATTCATCGAACGCTTGGCCCTGTTCCTAATCCGCTTCCCCCGAGACATTTCCGCCTTGAAACGAACTCGGTGGACGGCCTCTGCCCCAGCGATTTTCGCTCTGTGGAAAGGAGCACCACGCACATGGGTGCAGTTTTCAGTGTTTTGTACGGGGGTGGGGGGTTGACACACCTCTGTCTCGGCTAAGACCACTGGCCACTTGCGTGGCGGGGTTAAAATAAAACATGAGTATTAAAGGGGCTGCTGTCGGGGTGTGGATTAACCTCCACCCCTGGGAACATAGCAAAGGCTCACAGACCTCCAGTACTGCGGGCAAAAATGAATGAATCGGGACTGTAATTACCTATTCCTTTGTCTTGGCCTCGCGCATGCGCCGGAGAGCAGGGTGTGGAGGGCCAGGCAGCCCCATCTGATCTCCCCATCATCCACCCACCCACTCCCCTCCCGAGCCCAGGAACAAAGGCGTTTGCCCTAAATGTTTCACGAAACCTTTGGACACCAATGACAGCCCCCCTCCCCGCCCTCCGTCTTGGTCATGTGCGTGTTTCTTCCCCCTGCCCCAGGCCATCACATCTGACCCATTCTTATAGATTTCAATTACCCCCCCACCCCACCCCCATTTATATCAGCCTTTTTAGCGAGGAAAATGGTCGATGTACTATTTTTTTTTAAACGCACACTGCTTTTTTCCTTTCTAGAATTGTCCATTGTCCTTTCTGTTCTAATGTATCGCACAGCAGGGACAGTGCTTTTCTTATAGTTTGCATCCGTTAACTGTTTGCCTGACAGATCTTTATTGCGGGTCACTTGACCAAGGAACATTAGTCTCAGGCCAGCGATGGTGTTGCCCCTGGTGATACCACCTGGGATAGATTAAGACATCTTGGCATTTAAACGAACAAGATAAGATGGCTTACAGAAGCCAGCGTGAGAAAATGGTTACCTTTCCAGCAGCCCAAGCCTTTCTGAATTCTCTTGATGCCTACTTTATTGTTTCATTAAGGATTCCAAGAGGCAAACCCCACTGAGATGGGGAGGAAGACGGGAGCTGGGGTTGCTGGGAAGAAGATGGCGAAAGCACCATGTTCATAATGCCCGACCTCCCCCCCCCAAAAAAAAAAACCACACACATGCTAGTCCTTTGATGGGAAATTTTCTTTCAAATGATGTATTTCCCGGCTTATGGACCTTCAGATTTCTTTGGGGGCTGGTTTACTTCCGCTATTCAAAATAGGACTCACTGTATGTATCCGACAGGAGCCTAATGCTCTGTCTCTGCCATGGTGGGTTGTGTCTGAAAGATTTCATGATAAAGGATTTCCAGTATGTCCTGGTGGAATGACACGTGGTAGAAAACGGCAATCCTCCCTTTTGTTCCTTAAAAAAACCAAAAATGCCCTCAATATTGACCACGTTTACTATATCACAGCTTACAATTGGTGGGGCCAGTGTCTGGCTGCCTCCGAAATGGCAAGGGTTTTATTCTCTCGGATCCTTAGCAGTGAGTTTTATGTATTTAGAGTTCTGTATTATTCTGTATGAATTATACATTGAATAGTATAATTTAGAGGGCTATTTGTACTTAAATAAAAATCTCCCTGCCCCCCAGGTGGTGTTTTTGGAGGAGTACTAAAATATAGTCTAAAATCAATAGCTTTCAAGTCAATGAGCTTTAGGTTTTTAAGCAAAATAATTCTAAAATCAATTGAAAATATTGTGTTACTTTATTTTTCTTTAGGCAGTTTTCTTGCCAAGCATTAGCAGATGGAGAAAGGGAACTCTTTAAAATCCTGATATATTGCCCCAGCAGTTGACTATATTGACTGGATAGTGGCATGCGTGCTCCTTAACTGGTGGTGAAGCTGTCTGTGGCTTATGAGATGGAGCTTCCTCCATTACCCTCATTTAAATATTCAGTGGAAGAGCCCTCCACGTTCGCCTCTCTGTGCTCGGAGGCCTCTTTATAATCCTCCTGGATTTTCCAGAACAAATCACATTGTGGCTTTAAATGTACTAATTATGTTTTCTTTATTTTTATTTCCCTTTAACTTCAAGCCATTTGCATTTCATGGTTAAAATAAATGGTGCATGAAATCAGAGAAAAAAAAACCTACCTTTTGGGAATATTGTTCATTGTAAAATAGGTGTCTGTGTTATCCATGGAAGTTTTGTAAAACATTGCACATGAGAATCATTCTTCAAACAACTCAAGTAGCATGTATATACCACATGCACAGGTACACACAAAAATGTATACATACATATTTATATGTACACACTATAAAATCTTATTAATGACAATACTAAATGAGTTGGCATAGAATGTTATTTTACAGTGGTTTTATATTGGTCTTTGGAAAACAATTCTTTTCTGTCTTTATAAAACATATTCGAAAGGGGAAGTCTTCGTAGCCTACAAACACCCTCCTTACTTCTAAAATAAATGGTTTGTATTGAGTTTAGCTAGGATGTTCATTTTCAGGCCTCGAACTCTCTCTAACCATTATTAGGCTTTAAGAGCTGGAACAAACACCACCCAATAAAGGATTTATACAGATTTTTTTGGTCTTATTTTTGTGATCTCTTGTAAAATTTTGGTTTTCAAAAGCTGTCCAAAAAAAAAAAAATCCTAAGAACTACATCAAAGCAGGTGCCCTGGTATCTGGTTCACTGATTTGCATAGGTCTTTACTGGTGTGAGGAGCAATTTTCACCTTCTGTTTTCCATGATGATGGTTTCAGCTGGTAACTTAGGTAGCTTCTGAAGATAGCCTCCAAGCACATGGACAAGTTGGCCTTCTCCAGGACAGGCACCGTCTCTGTCCAAGTTTTCTCTCAGCTCAATCCTTTCCAACTCATTCTCTCCCAAGACTTGAGCTAATCCGGTGAGCATGAGATTTACTCTTTGAAACAACAGAGTTACCACAGGCAGAGCTGATGTAAAGATAAAATACCCGCGGGGGGGGGGGGCAATTTGCAGGGAGATTTCCCTGGAGTTTAATGGAAAGAAACTGGGTGTGGACGATCTTTACACAGTGGCTTGTCTGCCTACTTAGGGCAAATGATGTAATGACATCACATCTTGATGAATTTCCCTTTTTCCCCCCAGTTGTAAAATAGAGATAGTAATGCCCATTTTCAGGTTACATTAAGGATTACACAAGTCTGTGAATGACTAAGAATAATGACTGGCTCTTGGGGGCGCCTTAATCTCTCAATCTGTGACGTTTGATGTAGTAAATGGAACTGACATTACTCACCAGTTTCTACGGCGTTGAGCTGCATTTCTGACCCAGGCAGACAGATGAAGACCTGAGTACTTAGCAACATTCAGCCAGAAACAGCCTTTCTCAATGTGAAAGGGCCCAGGTATCTCATATGTATATATCATGCATATATGTATATGATATATACATATGTGTGATGTATGTATATAATTTGGTATTTTGTGGGCACTGTGTAGATTTGCTCCAAAGTGGGTTGCATGGTCTCAGGCTGGCCCCTTTGATCCTAGGGCTGCTGATGAAAATCAAGAGGGGCATTTAAGTTGATTTGAGAAACTGCAGAAACCTCAGTTTCTCAAAACCACAGCCATAACCAGTCTTTCGAAGGAGAGCTGCTGTTACATGTCAATCCCTCTGTAGCTAGAAAGACAGATGTGCAGATAGATGTCACGTGAGAAGGTTGCATGGTGAATCATTTGAAAACAAAGAGAATCATAGTCATGTTTTCACTAGGGTGCAGATCAAATTTTACCCCTGAGGAGACACAAATGTAGGAAATAGTAGGTGTCAAACAGCGTTCTTTTTTTTCTTCTGGAAATTAGGCATGGGATGAAGTCAGAGGCAGAGAGAGCCACGTAGTGGGTTTTCCTTCTGTGCCCAGAGGATCTAAGTACAAATCCAAGGAAACACATAAAGGAGAGAATTTTGAGCAGCCTGGGCATTTGGTGGTGCACAGAGGGTATGACTGAGTGGAGTCCATGAAGACATTCCCGAA